TTCTTCCCTCTGAGGGTGACGGAGCACTGGAACAGGCTGCCCAGGGAGGTTGTGGAGTCTCCTTCTCTGGAGATATTCAAGACCTGCCTGGACGAGGTCCTGTGCAGCCTGCTGTAGGTGACCCTGCCTCGGCAGGGGGATTGGACTAGATGACCCATAGAGGTCCCTTCCAACCCCGAACATTCTGTGATTCTGTGAAACGGGCATGCAAAACTTCTGTCCTAAGAGGAAGCTGTGGCAGCAGCTGCTGGAGTCATGGGTTCTTGGGCAAGGTGTTGTCTTCACTGTCACTCTGAGCAGAAATGATGTTCGGTTTCATGCTTATCTTAGGGCCATTTTGGACCCTCAGCAGAGACAGGACTGGTGGCGAGGGTGCGAGCAGCTGATGGGCCCTGCATGTTTCCTGTCCAGAGGGCGGTGCCGCGGTACAAGCACGCCAGTGCTGGGCAGTCCTTCATTCTCCCAGGGTCCACGGGGTAGAGAGCCACTGGCATCACCATTTTGTAGCTCTGGTAGCGTTCCCTTTCAGTGTCGGCCATATTAGAAGTTATTCCATTTTTAATTGTTTTTAAAATAGCTTTTTAACTAAGCCAGTACCGGACAGCATGGGCTGACACTTCAGTGTCAGTCAGGCATGTGTACTGAGTCCAGCCAAAGGATGCTTGACTCAGATAAAGTGTGCTCATCCTCTTCTGCATGCATTTAACTGTTGAGTAAAAGCACACAACCGTGAGCTCAGCAGCAGCTTGAGGCATGTGCGCACCTCTTAACACTCTCCACCTGACTGATCTGGAAGGTTCAAATCGCCTGTTTCCTTGGAGCGATGCTTTGAAGGACTTTTGAAACGTTGCTCAGCCTAAGACAAGATGTTTGTCCATCACAGAAGAAAAGCGGTGCGTGCACTCCTGAGTGTGGTGAGGTAGCGTGGTAAGTGACTAATGAGACTTGTCTTCCCTACCTGTATTTATAATGTAAACAGGACACTCCAGTTCCTTAGTCCCAAGCACCACCACTTCTGACTCTCGCGCTCGACAGGGTTATGATGCTAGGGGACGCATGCTGGATTGGAAGGATCCGCTTGGTTCATCTGAAAATACAGATCCATATGTGGCAGTTTCATCCCATAATCATCAAGACAAGAAGGGTAAGGTCTTGGAAATGATGTCCTGTGGTTAGGAGGGAGGGGGGGAGGACTAAAGTGTAACTGCTTCCAGCTGGCTCGGAGTAACATGTAATAAAACTCCTGTGCTATAATTAAAAGCTTTATCACAAAGCCTGAAACTAAACAGCCAATCTCAGGCTCAGTCCTAGATAATTCACTGCCTGAGGAAACCACACAAAACAAACAGAAGTGTATGCCTTTGCAGAGTGTATTGTGCATGTGTATGGGAAGGAGGGAGACAGTGGGGATTCAGCTCTCTTTAAACTCGATCTTCCCGTTGTCTGGCAGAGGGAGATCTGTGGCTTTGTTCTTAAGAACCATTGTTCTTAAGGGTGCGCTTTTGTATTGCCTTATTGTCTCAAATCTCAAGGCAGCACAGCAGATCTGGGCTAATTTCATGTTATTTCTGTCTCTCAACAACAGAAGTACTGAAGGTCTGCTCTAGTTTAACCATTGAAGTAAGACTGGCACTAGTCCTCGCCACTGGGTTCTAAGTCCCACTGTCTTCAGTGAGACCTGAGCATTAAATACCTTTTAGAGTAGGGGCTGAGGAGGTCATTAGCTTATTTTAAAAGATAATGGACATGACTGCTGGTGTAGAGATATTCTCTGTTGTGTTTTTAAAGCATCGAAAAGTTAGGATTTAGTTGGTGTTTCACAGTGTTCAGCCCAGAATTCAGTCCTAGCACACTTGGGACTAATACAAGTGACAGCCCTGTCATTTGGTCTCCAGTCCCCCTTTGCTATACATTCGGAGAATTAGGCAGAGAATTACCTAAATTTGCCACTTGAACTTGCTTAGAGAAGGAGAACCTTTTCTCTACTGTGAGGATGTTGGTACCCCCTCATTCTGTCTTGGCACTCCATTGTTTTCTCAGCTGCTTTTAATCTGGGTCTCAAAGAGGTTAAAATAGTTCCTTTGTAAAGAGAGGACGTTGGTTCAGGTAGGTCCTAGCTCTCTAACTGCCTAGAGAGATCTGAGCCCTTGTTATTCTTCTCCTGGGTGTTCTTAGATCGCTTCTTTCAATCTCTTCTTTGTTGAAGATGTTTCACTCTGTATGGTCTAATTAAGTAGTCAGTGGGCCAGGAGGAGGATGGGTATGAGCAAAACTCACTTGCTGAGTGGTTAGGACACTCACCAGGGGCAAGAACACACATGAGTGTCAGTCCTTTCTGCTATGAATACTTGATATAAAACACTTAAAATATTAATTGAAATGTGGATTCCAGTCTCTATTGTTCATGCATTTTACATGAAAAACTCATTAGACAAAAGCATCAGCTGTTCCTGGAGAAGCTGTTGGCATGCCAGACCCGCTGCTTTGCGTTGTCTGCCCAAACTAGTAGGTTACTAAATCATACTCCATCCCCTCTGTCTGACCCAGTGAATCTTGAATTCTCTGCATTGGCTGTGGAGACTTCCAGCAGGGAGTAATAAGCCCATTAACATTGCAGAACAGTCTTCAGCAGAGCTGCATGAACAGCTGGCAATGGTCTAGACCCAGACTGTGAACTCAGCCTCCCACAGTCCTGGGACATCCTGGATTTCTCACTGAACTCCCCAGGATTCACCTCAAAGAGCCTTCATGGTTCCCAGCCGTGAAGGCAATGGCATCACCTGGCTGGCCCAGCAGAGTTGAAGCCTGAAGCACTTTTCCAGCTGAGAAGGCTGGTCAAATTAGGCAGGAGGCGCAGTAAAATATCCCGAGAGGCCATGGCAAACATTAATCTAGTAGCCTTGGCTTTTAGGCTTGGTGGCAGGAAACGGAATATGAAGATTTGAATTCCCTGAAGCAGCGGATGCAAACTTGTCTGCCATGTCCCAGCAATGAGCTTTTCCTATAAAAAAGGGAAAAGCTGCCATTTGTTCTTCTCCCTTCAACTGGGTTTTAGAAGTGGCCCCTGTTTGAACAATTTTTTTCAGAGCTTGATCCTCTAGACATTCCGGAGAATAACTGCAAATACAAAGCAAAAAAGTTACTTTCTAGAACCTGATCAGGCTTACATGTGAGTTAAGCACAGAGCTCCTCTGCACCTTGCAGACCTCTGAGCAGCTGAGCCTCAGCAGAGAAAGAATTTTAGGCAGCTGCAATACCCAAACTGAAAACCGTAACTTAGGGTGCAAGGGACTGAGGGTGCTGAGGACAAAAACGCAGATTCCTAATTCCTGCTTAGGCTCAGTTTGAGATATTGACCTCATTTTTTTAATTCCTCAGCCCTAGCTCTTCTTTTCTTGACCAGAAAGTGATTTTTGGGTATCATGTATGTAGAGGAGAGAAGGCAGATAAGTCTGCTTTTCTGAAGATGGCATGTGATTTACCTAATATTCCTCTTTCCTCTCAGCAATAAATCAGTGATAATGCTAACAGCCAAAAAAATAAGGCTTTTTTATTTTTCTGTCCAGTCTTTTAGTAACATCTGGTATTCAAAATGCTTGAGGTGAGAGGGTATTTCTTAGAAAATCCAGTGTTCCCTCTTCTGAAAGTAAGTGGTGTCTTTTTCTCCTCCACCCTGAGAGGAGGGGATGTCATTAAGCAGATTTGATGAGGAAGGAAGGAAAAGATCCTTGAACCCAGCTCTTCTGCTGGCGTCAGACAGGGGAGTGGTGTCAGAAACAGTTAATAGTGGACGATCTGGCCCTTTGTGTACCCAGAGGAATTCGGAGACATGCATGCATTTTAATGGCACTATTTGTTATGTGTGGGTCCCTACTTCACAAATCTTCTGCGAAGCAATGCTTAATAGATGGAAAGCTAGCTCTTAAGAGCATCTTGTGTGCCAATAGCAGCTTCCAGAAGAGCATGCAGTGAAAATATTAATAAATGTGTAGCTGTTGGATTCTAATCATTTTCGCTTCAATTCACTGACTGATGAGGTGGCTTACATTCAATAGTTCCCTCTCCAGGGAGTGATGGTTACCAAAAAGCCTTATTAGCACTTGACAGGGTCATTTAAATATCATGCATTCTTTGGTGCCTAATTATGAATATTGACAAAGCTGGAAGCAGTCTACACGAAATCAAAACAATGGCGGCAGAGGTGACCGCATGGTTGTTTACCATTGCCATCTACTTGTGTGTTGTTACTCCTTGCCTTGCCCAGTCAGAGCCGGTTGGCTCCAAAATTACTATTGATTTGTTGTTTTAAAAGGGCAAAGGAAAGAGTTCTTACACAAAATTAAATCAGAAAATGTTACGCTTACTATCCTTTTGTCAAGGTTTTGTTTTCACTTTTGCTGTGATTTCTTTTATGTTCACACATTCACAGAGAAAAAAAAATACTCTTTTTTTTAACGTTTTGTCTTTGTTTTGCAAGGTGCTTTGTGTTGTTCTTCATTGGTTGTGTGTAATCCTTTGGACAACGTTTTCTTTCTTTTCTTGTGCTCACAAACGACTTCTTACTGATTGTACTAATTGTACAGAATCCACTTGCTGCTTTCTTTTCTGTAACATGGGTGCTTTGATGATGTCACATCCATCCATATGCTTCACTTTTAATTCAGTGTAGGCATCTTGGGGAATATCTGTGGGGGCGTGAAGAGGGGGTTCTTTAAAAGGATTGACTCATGGGAATGTGACATTTGTGTGCCACAGCTTTAGTAGCTAAATATACTCTGGGATTGTTGTTTCTGAGCTACATCACATTTCTTGCCAAGATGAAAATGTGTAGTGCAGCCCATAGAGTGGGAACTATGCGTTGCCATCCCACTGGCATTTTCATTTTGGCCATTCCAGAACAAAACAAAAAAAAATCAGCTCTGATTGGGCAAACTGCACCCCTCTTTCCTCTTTTCCTCCATCTCCTCCCCAGGGAAAAAAAAAAGAAAAAAAGAAACATGTTCTCGAGTATGTTTACGTTTTGTTTCCTTTCTTGCTGTGTTTTAGTGTTAATTTAATTTTGTGTTTCTCACCTTTGCTGACACGGTTTCCCTAACCTCGCCGCCTAACCTTGCCCCCTGCTGCCATTGTTCTTGGTCCCCCTTCCCTCCGCAGCGGTGAAGCTCCCACCGTGGAGCACTCCAAGGCTTTACCCTCTACACCCCAGTAGTGCTGTAGCGTTGTGTCTCTCTGTAGCCGTCCTACTAATGAAGTGGGGAGTAGTCACATATCGCTCGTAGAGAGGCCTACGTGAAGAAAACAAAGCGATTTTCTTCAAGAGTAGCTGGCCTTGCCCCTCGTTACCCTGCTGCCCTTCTCTGCTGCCTCCTGTCCTTCCTGCCTTCCCTTCAGAAACGCCTCACGCTTTTGAAGTCCTGGGCTCATTAGCAGAAATACAGCCAACTGCTCAGTTTTCTCACTCACTCCCTGAATGCCTGGAGCTTGCCTTTTAATCACAGTGTTGATAAATCGGTTGCAAATTCAGCTTACGGTTTTGTGGTTCTGCTACAGCTGCTCTGCAGCATTCAGGTGGACGTGGCTGAGCTGGGCACTGAATGACGAAGGAGTAGCATTGCTGTTAGCAGGCTTAATGTTCATATTCTTGCTTGTCTCAACACTCATTAAGTGAAGATTATGAGGTGGTATCTGTTTTCCTTAACAAGCCTTTTGTTGATATCCAAGTAACAATGGTAAAAAGCTGATTAGAAGCAGGATGTGATGGACACAGTTCACAGAGTTAAGAGTTACTGATGTATGCGGATCTACAGGAGCCCTCCTTTAGATATAGTATCCAGTAGAACCTATTACTTTGTAGAGTCTGTATTATTATTATTTTTAACTGCAGCCCTTCCTCTGGTACAGAATTCGACATCATCAGCAATTGTCAACTCCTCTGTTTGGAGAGGGCTTGCTATTAGGGAGCCCAAGGGCTGTTCATTTCAAAACCTGACTCCAGAAAGTATTTCATATTGTATGCAAGTGGCAGTGTTACTAAATTTTACTGTGATTATCACTACTTGAAAGATTTGCCAAGTGCTGACAATGCTTGTCTCCGGAGAGTCTGCAAATGTTCAGGCAGATTCTGCTGGAGTGAGACAGAATTAT